TTCTTGGGAGAATTCTGCCACCCCTCGCATACACAGATCATAACAACTGCCTCAAATCAATCTTATACTTCTTCTTTTTCGTCACCCATAACAAACAATCTATACTTCATGGTGTTTAACAACAGTACCGATCGAGTATTAACTCATGAAGAAAATATTACTCGTGCTGAATGTTATTGGGCCATGGCAGCAGCACAACTCGGCTTTAGCTATGATTCATCACAAAATATTCCTGAATTATTTGCGTCAATGTTTCCTGACAGTAAAGTAGCTGCCGATTATGCGATGAAAGATCGTAAGCTTTCGTATGTAGTATCACATGGAACTGGTTCTTTTTTTTATTCGTGAACTCATTAAAGATGTACTTAAAGCTCCTGCCTATTCGTTACTTTTCGATGAAACAACTATTGTTGGAGTACGAAAGCAACTGGATTTACATATTCGATACTGGAGCGAATCCCAACAGGGTGTCGTAACACGATATTGGAAAAGTATTATGCTTGTGCATGCGACTGCTGACATTATCAGTCACCATTTACTCGATTCATTGAAATCTGAGGGGCTCGATTTGTCTAAAATTCTTCATTTGGGTGAGTTAATACTTTCTTTTATATACTATAGACTCATTTCTGTTGTAACAGGTAGGGATAATCCCAATGTCAATAAAGCGGTTGAAGCTATGATAGAGAAGGAAGCGCGATCTGCCCAAGAGAAAAAGTAAGTTGTTGAAGGCAGAAATAGAAATAAGATTAATTATATATTGTTTATTTTCAGAACAGGAAATTCATCAAACAAAGGTTTACTTCCAATTGGACCTTGCCCACTTCATATTATTCACACTGCTTTCAAACGAGGTTTTACTCAAAACGACTGGCAAATTGAAGATATTTTATACGACTTTTGGTGTTTTTTTCTCCCGATCATCAGTTCGGCGTGAAGATTATTTGAAAGTAGTAGAAACTATTGGCGTAGGCGTTGGTCGATTTATGAAACGCTTCGTGATCACTCGTTGGACCGAAGTAGGTCCAGTTATTGAACGGATAATCGATCAATGGCTAATTCTCATCGAATATTTCCTCGTGTATTTACCAAAGATTGACAAAAAAAATTATAAATAATGATAGATGGAAACGAATCCAAACTCAACTCGAACAAAAGAAAACACTCGTTCGTTTACATTTTATTCTCCGCGTTTATCAGCATATATTCTCAAAACCTCTGACCTGGTTACAACAAAAGTAACCATTGATTCATCTGCTATTCGAAGAGTGTAGTAATCTATTTCGCGATATACTGATAAGTTTTATTAAAGATGATTTATTGACAAACAAAACTGTAAAACAACTGCTCTCAATTTCTTTCGATTCTCAAGCTAATGAAAAGCCAGATTCGAAACTCGCGATTGGTGAAATCACACGCAATGAACTTCAAGAAATGTCAACAAATGAAAAAATCAAATTTATGCAAGATGTTCGCGATATTTACAAAACTATTGCTGTAAGTACCAATCCTTAACTTAATAAGATCAAATTAGAACGATCGTTTGGTGTAAAATTTACGCATAGAAGGAGAAACAAATTATTTCACCTTCTATCACTATTATTGAGCATATTATTTGAGGGCAAACATACATCAAATGAACTCTAAGTGGTGAATAACATAGAGTCAATTATCAAAAAGAGGCTGCTACTTAGAATCTATGAACGAGAGATCATCAACAGGGTAAAGCCAATGAGAGAGAATTACATGGTATCAAAGAAGAACTTCATGCAGCGAATAGATAGTTTTGAACCGAACGTATTTTGTAACATTTGTACTGTACTTATAGTTACAATAAAAGAAAATTTGCTTAGTTTTTTAAGATTTAAAATCTATTGATCTTTGGGATGCCAAATTATATGATTTTCTTTCTTTCACTATTCTAGCGAGAATTGACACGTACGTTACCAGTGACCAACAAATTTTTACAGAACCTTCAATTCATGCATCCACTTCAACGGCATCATGAATCTTCCAGTAAAAGTCTAATGATTATCGCACGTGACTTGCCTCAACTACTATCGGATGACAATCTTGATTATTTGAATGTCGAATGGCGTTTATATGAAAATGAAACCATTCCAGAAGAGTGGTATCAACAAAAAACCACCAGTGGTGATTCTGATGAAGTTATAAAGTATCAGCCAATCGATAATTATTGGAAACATGTTTTTGCAATAAAAACCAGTTCAGGGATTGCCAAATTTGTCGTATTACCTCAACTCATCAAGAGTCTTCTATCACTTTCACATGGTAATACCGATGTTGAACGTGGTTTTAGCGAACATGCAGCACTAATCACCGACAATCGATCATCTCTAAGTGACATCTCCATCAACGGACTTCGAGCAACGAAAGACGCCGTCAAATTTTTGCGGACAACGAAAAGCTCACGAAGTAAGTGAGACTATTACGTAACAGTTGATTATTATCAATGTGACTGGTATACTTTTTTAGGTTCCAATTTGCAAAGGACTTCTTGGCAATGTCAAGGAAGCACACTCACGATATCAAGTTGACCAAGAAAGAAAACAAAGAATACTCAAAGAAAAAGAAGCCATTGAAGCTGCTGCAAAATTAACGAAAAACAAAGAACTAATTTTGGTCGAAAAAGAACAAAATCTAATCGATCAACGCAAGATCTTACAACAAGATCTAGAAAATGCATCTAAAATGCTCAATGAAGGCAAATCACGGCTCGAAGCTGCAGTTGCAACGAAAAACTTTGCTGGTGTCGAAATGGCACAACTACTTATTGGAGGCGCGAACAAAAAATTGGATGCTTTGAAAGCACAACTCGGCGATAATACTGATCAAATGAATCAGCTCAGAAAAAAATTGAAAAAATGAACGAAAAAATGGTACAAACAGAAGATAAAATTCGTGAGCTTATAACTTTGTAGATTCGTAAATTTGTAGATTTGTATATAGATTTGTAAATTTGTAGATTTGTATATAGATTTGTAAATTTGTAGATTTGTATATAGATTTGTAAATTTGTAGATTCGTAGATATAAAAATTTGAAAATAAATAACTAATAATAAATATACGTTCTAGAACTATGATTGTTTCATTGTGTGGTTTTTCTGATATATGAATATTATTTCTCTGAAGTGTAGTATCTGTGTTGTGAAGTATGTATACGCTCATCTTGCATGACAAAGAAAAAAAAGGATGAAGAAGCACGCTCCTTAAAAAGAAGGAAAGAAGTAGGAAAAAGTGACCTCTGCGGGGTCTGTGCCATGCGAAGCAAAAGCATTTATGTAGTTCGTCGCGAGTTTTTTTAATGGGATGCAAAGCAGAAGTATTTATGTTGTCCGTCGCGAGTTTTTTTAATTTTTTTTAATGCGATGCGAAGCAGACGCATTTATGTAATCCGTCGCGAGTTTTTAATGCGATGCGAAGCAGAAGCATTTCTGTAGTCCGT